TTCTTTTTTTTTTTAACATACTGTCTTCACTATACAACCCCCCCCCCCCCCCCTTTTTTTTTTCCGTTGTAAGCAATAATGCAGTTATCGTCCATATGAGACTATATGTTCTCTTGGCCAATCCCCCAGAGTGGGTACGAGCCATGGATTAGAGGATACAAACAAACAAACAAAAAGCACGACCTTCTTGCCTCTTTGTTGTCATTCTCAACCTTGTTTTCCACAATGAAATGTTCACTGGTCCAGCTGCATCGACAAGAAGGCGCCCTCAGTATCTGAATAGTTGTGAACTTTTGCTCGTGCCCGACGTCGATGTTCGTGGAACTGAGGATGCATGTTGCGTGAAAGTGGTTTGAAGATGAAGTCCTGCCTCCATTCATTTGGGATACGTTGTTTTTCCTCTCTCTCAACGGGGGCTTTGATGCCAAGTTCTGATAGTGTTTTTCGTACCGTTTTAGTGATGACGAAGTGCATGACTGGATTCGTGTGGTGTGCATGGAATAGTTCTGAGTCCTCTAGAGAGTCATACGTATGACTTCGTCTATTTTGCGCTCGTCTGCTTTCAAGCCACTCAGGTAAGGAAAGCTATAACAAATGCCTGAATGAGTCGCATTATGTCGTGTTTTTTCATCCCTTGATGTTGTTGTTAGTGGTTCATGAGGAAAAGGAAGAAGGCACCTAATTTCTGTCTGCCTAAAGGCGACACGGCACAATGCCTTGCTTGATGAAAGCCCATGACACTGACAGCTAGTATGGGAGAAGCAGGAATCGCCCTCGCCCGACGAAACCCAAGGTCCACTTTCGTTCTAACAGATTGAAAAGCAGCCTACCGAAATTTTTGTAAAGGCTACATTGGCCCCATTGCGCATCGACTTCTTACACGACTCTCGTCCTCACGCTCAGAGGGCGAATGGAAGCAGCTGATATAGATACCCGGCCACTGCGAAGTTAGAGGCAATGAGCTCGCCCTTGCCTCGGCCCGAGAATTACTCTTCCGGACCTCCGACCCCGACATATCGCACCCACCCTCGGCTAAGGGTATGGACCCCTTCGTATCATACACAGATATTCTAGAACATCAAAGACTTGAAAGACGGAAACTTCCGCCCCCGGGGCCAAAGCTCAGTAAAGAATCTCAGGTAGTGTGGCGTCGCCTGCAGACCTTGTCTTACCGCAATACATACATACTGTCCAAGATAGATCCCAACATATACGCACCACAGTGCAGGTTCTGAGTCACTAAAACAGCCACCCTGTACCACATGGTATAGGAATGCCCACACAATCCACCTCTACAACCCATAGCACAGCACAACACCGTAGGGTGGGAGGCAGCTCAGTCCAGCTCGGATCCGAAGACCCAAGAGGCCCTTGTGAGATGGGCGAGGACAGCGGCCCGTGCCAATGGGATCCCGGACCAAGGAGTCCATTTACCGACACACTTTCCTCGGTCGCAAATAAATGTTTTCTTCTCTCTCTCTGTCAGCCTTCTTCTGTTCTCGCGCTATAACTATCGTCATGTCATACCAACTAGCCCAAGCTGCCACACTTCCAAGTTATCAAACCATTATGGGATATTTATTAGTAAATTAAATGATTGCGTTCAACATTCCCTGCCAAAGTATTTTGTATAAAATGACTGAGTCATATCAAGAGAAATAGTTTGCTAAAATGTGTTACCTTTAGTATTTTGACGCTTTTATTGTTCCGTTTCAGTTTCGGTTGCGGCAAACAACTCGCGTACGCTATCTCACATACAAGAAATGAAGTACGGCACAACTGCTCATCTTGCATTAGCACCGTGATTGAGATGTATGCTTAAATAAAAAAGAGCAAAAAATAAAAGACGCAAGTGAAAGAACGCTAGGCGCCAAATGCAAGACTGTGACGATTTACGATGTGCAAGTGGTTTTCACGAATCGCAATTAAGGCTACTTAGTTCAGATAAATTTGCGACTTACAGCCTACTTAGTGCATTAACTGATGTATACACCTGATTATATGATATAACCTCTATAATTTGAAAGAAGACCAGGATAAGCTTCCAAAAACCAGGGTGCTTGCACATTAAACTCGGGGATAGCGGGACCCATAGAGGTGGGGCCACTCGAAAGCAGTGTATCTTTCCATCAAGGTGGCACGCATGAGGTTTGTCATGTTACTCTACTCTGACCGCCACGATGCTGTTGAGATAATGCTTCATAGGACTGCATGGATTAAATCTTTGTAGGTTTTTTTTTGAAAGCCTCAGATGTTTAATCGAATGCGAAAATTGACCATCGGCATCCCACGGCGTAGGTGCCAATGCGAGTGGTCAAATACAAGTCACGTGATGACAATACTATATGACGTGTAATGACGTCGCATACCGTCATTTTGGTCAATAGTACGTGTGTCAATCACGGAGGCAGTACGCACGCATAATGTTCATGGACCCTCTATTTTATAACACACGTATATATATATACAGCGAGTGTTCAAGCGAGCCACCCGGTTACACCATAGCAAAAAAAAAACACTAAAAGAATATTTCTGCTACACTGAAACTTCTGGATTTTCTTTTTTCTTCGAAGACAACTGAAGAGTGACCCACCCGCCAGGCAGCATTGTGGAATGTCAAACTAGAAATGTTTCAGTTGTAATCGCTTTCACAGTCACTTACTTCAAACTTTGACCATTACCCTTACACTACATTTATTTACTTACTTTAAGAGTGCATTATAACCTCTTTATTGGTTAACTCCCTTTTAGTGGACATGACATGTTTGTTGTCTCACCAATTCTTTTTCCTTTCACTAGAAAATAATTTAAATGTTATCCTTAAGCCCTATACACAATGGTTATTTATTTATTTTTAAGAGTGCACTATACCCCTTTTGTTTAACCCATTCAGTGGCATCATAAGTCTGTCGCGTCTCCACTTATATATATATTTTTACATAAGAAGGACTCATTTCTGTCTGCATTCAGTGTACGCGTACCAGGGGTTGAAGCGCATATATGCTTTGTATTGCCCTTCACAGAGAGAAAGCAACTGAGGCGTATGCAAAGAAATGCTCCGATACAACAAGCACCTTTGGTGCCTGTCTGTCTACGTATGTATGAATGTATGTATGTATGCATGTATGTATATAGCCATCTAGCCACCTACACCTGGATGCTCTCATGATCAACCCCTTGGGATACACCAAAATTAGTACTGAAGGGTAAAATGATGTGAGAACACAGTATGCTGGCCATGACATCAATAATGTCACAGTCTCGTTGCCTGTGTCATCAAACACTTCACAAAAACAGTGGAACATACCTGGAAGCGGGTATGTGCCACTAGTATGTGGGTATGTGCCACAGGTGATTGACTCTTAGTATCTACCTTGGAACAACAAGAACACACATAGGTAACTTTTAACGCTTGAGAGTCAAGAAAAAGTTGACAGAGGCAGTGTTGACTGAACGAATGCAAAGAATAAACGTCAGTGTCTCAGCCGGAATCGTACCTTGTCCTTTTGCATGGCAATCAAGTATTCTATCACAGAGCCACACCAGGTCTTGGAAATACTTTGCAAATTAACCCTAATTTTCAAGAAATGTCAAGTCTGTTTGCAGTCCTGGCTATCAAATTTCATGAACGTTACATATGTACACCTAGAGACAAGAAGACAGCAGATGGGGTCTGGGAACAAAGCGGCGTTAAGAATATCATAGTCGAAATCAAGAATAAGAAATGGACATGGGCCGGGCACGTGGCGCGTAGACAAGATAACAGCTGGTTATTATGGGTAAGAGACTGGATTCCTAGAGAAGGCAAACACGTGAGGGGAAGACAGGAAGTTAGGTTGGCCGATGGGATCAAAATATCTGCAGGTATAATGTGGCAGCGGAAAGCGCAAGACCGGGTTGATTGGTGGAACATAGGAGAGGTTTTTGCCCTGCTGTGGGCGTAGTCAGGCTGATGATGATATTAAACACCCATGACAGGTGTCTTGGAGCATGCACTGAGTCTTTATCAAAAGATGACATTACTAACATATAAATATAAAAGCAGGATTTTTTTTTTTTTTGTATAAAGGCCGCTTCTGGTTGTTAAATGGCTTGCCATGAGCAGGTAACATGTCACACTACAAGTCTATCGTGAGAGGTATGACCAAAAGCTTCCATATGTAAAGCTATAAGTTTTGAAGCAACTAAAACAGAAACATAGCAGTTAAATGAATACCGACACAAAAATTTTCCTTGTTCTGCTTTATATATGAATAAGCAGCTAGTGACCTGTATATCAAAGCCGCATACACTCAAAACTCGATATAACAAATCTGGATATAACGAGATATCGGTTATAACAAATTAAAAGATTTAGTTTAAGAATAAACCTTCATAAGAAATTTTTGGATATAAAAAAGTTAATTTCATTTAATATGCAAGTTTGTTATAATGAGGTTCGAGTGTACCTCGACCCACATATCAAGGCCGCAAACCTCATCTGTTAAAGCATGTGACGCTTCAATATTACAAGATATTTTTCACGGGGCCCAGTTGCACTTCCAGTTTCAGACAGCATCGTCAGAGATGGGATGCAGTGTAGGTCTTTGAAAAACTCGGATGACTACGTGACAACACAAAAAAAGCATACGGGATCATGTGGACAAGAGAATTGTGCCATCTGCAGGAGTGAGTACATGCAATGACCATGGCAGCCAACACCAACTGGTCACGTAGCTGGCTGCTGGTTGTTTGTGCTCGAAAAAAGTTCATGTCGATGTCACGAGGTACCCCGTTTCACATTACGTTCTGGCACACACTTTAATATTGATTTTTAGTATGTTCCTGGCTATATAGTATGTGCAGGATATTTTGTAGGTGATGTATCTGTGCATGTGCAACTCTCTCACAAGTTATCTCAAGTTCAAACTTTTGCGGCAGTGCTCCTTCAGAACACCAGAAGACAAATGCGAGGTCACCAAGAATGCTACTTGCACTGAACTAGTAGAGAAAATGTCTTATCAATGTCAGTCATTTATTGAATAAGAAAACTACATATTTCACGTTTCCAGCACTTGCACACACACATGTCAAGAGGCATACAGTACTTGCAAAGTCGCAAGCTGGTAGCAAAAGGCACAACTTTTTCACTTGGAGCCAGGCTCCTAAGAACACAACCTAAAGAACACTCTGATCCCTTTGAGGAAAACTCAGCTTTTTCTTTAACCACCGGCTTTTATAGAATCACAAATGATAAGTACTCAAGCTGTGCATGATGCAGCTGCTTCACTTCAATGAAGCAGAAAATTTCTGCATACTCATATCTACTCGTAAATGCTGAGTAACTCGTCATAAATTAAAACGATAAAGAAAACAAAACAGGCTCACTTAATCTTCAGCAAAAACGAAATCTCTATTGTTTTAATAAAGCAAAAGTAATATCAATCTCACCCTTAGTTTTACATTCTGTGAAAAAAATGAGGTGCTGAAGATGCCACGATCTGATGCTGCTTTCCGAGTACATGGGCCAACCTTTTTTCTAATTACAATAATGTGTTTCTTCAATGAAAAGTATTTACCCAAACATTTGCTTCCGAGATCAGTAACATCTGAGCAAATCAACGCAGGACTTTTAGTGTGCTGTCACCACTCACATGTCTGCATTTTCAAAACGCAATTTGTTGATACAAGCTTTCTTATTTCAGTTATGAGTCTTCTTGAAACAATTAACAAGCAAGAATTGAGTTATCTGGGTTTTTGTAAAAACAACTTCTTTTCTATTTAATTTGCAAGACCGACATTATATCCTTTATCAGATTTTTATGAAAGTGAGTCAGCTGGACCATACACGGCAAGAATGGATAGACCGACTGCCCTACACCACCAGTAGAGAATGCATGTTAAAATATGTAAGTGCGATGAGAAACACGTAAGCTGATACAGAAAATAAAGACAGTAACAAAGGAAAATAGGAATAAATACGGCAACACAATATTAGCTGGCACAGCTGCCTAAGAAGTATGCCACGATCGTAGTATTAAAAATACAAGAAATATTACTACAATGCTAAAGGGCTTCCACGATGCTATGAGGTATGCAGAAGCACTATGAGAATTCAGAGGCGTGATAATGTGAAACTATCTTGCTTTTTTTTTATTTCGTATTGGTAGGCAGCACGATGTGATTGGTCGAAATATTTCAGGCCACACCTACTGTGTTTGTCACAGAATGCAACAAAACCCATGATAGTGCTCAGTAGTATAACTATGAAAACACAATAAAAATTTTCGGAATGGCAAAGAAGTGGTTTTTGAATAGAATATAGAAACACTGCCCACGAATAATTTTGGCTTTGAATGATCCTGAGTGGTGGTGAGACGGAATTGATTTGTTTATGAGCATATTTGGCGCAGCTGTACAGTGGTGGTTAAGATTTCACACTTCTTTCAAAATAAAATTCCCCTCTATTTTCTATTTGGGATAAAATATGGGGGCATTCTTCAGCTATTCTGCAGATTTTCAAGTTTGTTCAGCTTGATTTAGCAAAACCTCTGCATACTAACCATCCTGATGTCGTATGCATTCTGCAATTTTCAGTGCCCGCACGATTCACAAGCAAAATGCTCACCTGAAGGTTTTTAAGTAACTCGACTGATTGTAATTGATTGTGGATTCAGAATTAAGACAGAACGGGACAGAGTTACATTATACCAGCCAAAGATACATAGCAATGATGCAGTGCTAGCTGTTGAGATGAGATGCCATTCTAAACACTGCCCTTGTGCCAGCACATTGTAAAACGTCTTTCGTACAAATGGCAAAACAGTAATATTTAGTTCCCAAATGTAAATGCAAACATGTGAGCAAGAGCACGAGCTATATATGAAGAGCCTTTTAAAGTGCTAATATTTCTGCAAACAAGTTTGATACAGAGGTGTCATTTTGCGTTACTGCAATGCCCAAATGCAATAACTGGCCATTTTGCTCGAAAAGAATCAAAAGCAACATGCTTGTGGCGTCTGCATGCGACACGGTATGCACCGACCTTCCACAAGCAACACGGCAGCAGTACAAAACATGGTATGCACCGTGTTGTGTTTCCAAATTGGTGGTAGGAGTCACTGTTTTTGAGCAGGAAGATCGGCATTTGTCTATCATTCCTGCACATGCATTTTTTCTAATTTCTTTCGAGCAATACAGGCCAGCATCGCATCTAAACTTAAATTTACCTTTTCAATCAACAAATTTTTCACGAAAGCAGTGTAAACAATTATTCATGAATTCCTCATGTAAAAATCTGAACCGCTCGTAGCAAAAGTAAAGCTTATCATCACAGCATTTTAGAACTTTGTAAGTATTCATCGCTATACAAGAAAATAAATTAAAGCAAAAGTGAAGAACTGAGCTTCAGTACCTGGCTGTTTGTTCTATGAAAACATGGACAAATTTAATTGGTCATTTGCTGAGGAGTTCAACTGCATGCGCCGCAAATCCACCTACTTACGAGATAAGAATATGTTGAAAGCAGCAGCTTATTCAAAAGAGTCATATATACCTGCCACTCATGCAACAATCAGTAAACAGTAGGTGCAGTAAAGCCCGGATAATCACTCCAGGAGATGTGAGGTTAGAATGGCTGCACCTTTTCCCATGAACGCCGCTACACTCTGCTAAATTGTTCAGATCTAATGCGGGCTTATCACAGCAATGAATGATCGTGGTTAACGCTAACACACATTCGAGCACTGTCAACAACTGGAAAAACGTCAGCAGACATAGCCTCGGCTAATAGAATCACCGTTACTTGATGCAAGGTATAAGTTTTTTGATTATGAAGGAAAATGTTAGCTGCACAACAACTAAAGAACATCATATGAAAGAAAGAGCTGTGTTTCGTTAGTCAAGTCACAGAAACGAAAAACTCACGGTCTTCATGACCAAGAAAAATCTAGAAAAATGGAATGTGCTGCCCTTGGATTGTGCAAATTAACGTTCCTGTCATACAGGGACTACCAACTCACACGATACTCTTTCATCAATAAAAATCCACACCACGACAAGAACACCATCACAGCAGGCTCTTTAAATACAATGTGAACATACAAAATAAAAATGACCGAAAACATCCAAACATTTATGCATGTGCCGCGATGAGGTGCTAGCAATCAAGCTCACGCTGAAAACACTACAGCAATTCCTTTGTAACATTTCCTTCTGTGCGCAAAGTCAAACACGCATATTTAAAATTACCACGCACTGAACAATCTCATAAATTTCTGATGCTTGAATGTGCCAGAGGTTAAAAAGAATAAATATTACAAGGTTTATAAAGAAGGCATTAGTGAAATGCAAAACTAGCTCATACTATTCTAACCTAACACCACATGGGTTTTTAAAGCAGAAAGTTCATAATCATTTCTTTACTCTAGGCAATGTAACATGCACACTTGCTGTATGTGTCCGTTTTTGTTAGTGCACACACCAGTATAAATTCCCCCATGTGATACGTACCTGCTAGTGCTAAACAAAAAATATGAAGCCAGGAATCAATTCCAACGGCATTTTCTTCTTGCCAACAGAATGTCGAGCTGCCAGATTGCCACGAATGCTCCGTCTGCTATGGCTCCTTGGCTTTGACTGTCGATCGACTTGACGTTGAGTTTGACTTGGATTGAAGTAGGACTTCGGCTTGTATAACTCAAGACATAGAGTAAGTACAACAAGCTTTCCATAGGGTCCATGCACTAAAACCTATAACCGCTTGGGTGCAGCCGTGATGGCACGACACTCGGCTTTCGCGTAACGTTCACTCACATTCGCCACTTCATACGGCCATAGCAGCTGACATTTTTCTGTTTCGCGGGTCTCTGTTACATCGCAGTAAGATACTGTCACATGAAGTCCAGTTTTTGGCTCATATCAACGAGAAACACGGATGACAGCAACGTTACTAGATCTAGTAACGTTGGATGACAGCGCAAGCAAGCAGGCACACACAATCGGCCTCATCGCTACGCCATGCCGCTACACTCTCAACAACTTTACCACAGAACGGGTTCCCGTACTCTCAACCATAGAGTTATTATTTAGACCTTCCTCTATGCTCTCAACGTTACAAGAATGGTAATGCCATCTACTAAACAAACCTACAAACGGTCTGTTTCGCGAGCAATAAATTGAACAAAATTGAACAAAATAAATAAATTGAACAAAATGAATTGAACAATTGAACAAAAAATTTATTTTTTAAAAAAATTGTTATAATCAACATCATGCAATTTTAGTTTTTTTAATACGTGAACAAGCTTGTTTGCAATTTCCATTGCAAAAATTTGAGTGTTTAAATTGTCTAACTTTAGCGCTTATAAAAAAATTGCAATGGACACATTGGCAACGTTTTGGGATGTCAGCGGTTTAGAGTTTCTCATATATGGAAACTCTATAGTCAGTGGTCCGTTGGTAATGTACGACGAAAATCTGATATCGGGGACTACAGTATTTTGTAGTGCTATGATGTCGGGTTTGTGATCGAGCGTGCTTAGTGAGAGAGAATAAAACACTTATTTGCGACAGAAAAAGGAGTGACGGTGTATAGGCTCCTTAGTCAGTGTATTTTTCGTCGACAGCTGGCGCTCGAATCAGTTAATGGATATTTTATCGATCAGTTGAATGTTCAGGTTTTCAACTTTTGTTAATTGAGCGTTTCGCAACTAAACCTAATGTTAAGTTTTTGTAACTTGCGGATTGACGCGCTCCCTAGGAGCAACAATAAAAAACGCTTTGTGTCTGCAGTTTTCAAGTAGCTGCGTAAATTATACATAAATTAAAAAGTTTCATGCGTGTCTAGAATGTGTCGACAGAGTTATTTGGTCTTATTGTGCCTGCAGAAAGAGGGCTACTAACGTAAACTCACAACTATCTTCATCAAGTTTGCAATCCTTATAACAAAAGCACCGCAAAATTATTATTATTGTACTTTTTTTTGTCGACAGCTGGCGCTTTAATCATTTTAAGGCCATTCAATTGATCACTTTAGTGTTTGGGTTTTTAACTTTGGCTATGTGGGCATTTTGCAACCAAATTTAAAATTAAGCCATAAAAACTTGCATACTGACGCGTTGTCGAGGAGCAATAATAAAAAAAAACACCACGTGGCTGCAGCGTTTTAGGTGGTTGCGTAAATTAAAACTAAAATGAGAACTTTTATGTGTGCCTACAATGTGTCAACAGAGTTATGTAGGAAAAAGCTATTAACGTAAAACCACTTCTCGCTTCATTAAGCTTGCGGCGCCGTTAACGGCAAAAACACCGAAAAAAAAATGTTAATGTTCGTGAACAGAAGTTCATTTTTTTCGTCAAAAACTGGCGCTACAAACAGTTAATGGTCATTTAGTTGATCAGTTTGGTGCTCTGGTTTTGACTTTTGTTGTGTGGGCGTTTTGCAACTGTTGTGATAGTGCACTCGTGAGACGAGCGAGGACGGCGGTGTGGCCGCCTCACAGAACACCTACCGCCTGCGATGTGTTAGGTGGTGAAAACTCCGATGAAATCGTGGCCATGGCCTAGGCCACTCCCAAGGAGGACTGGATCGTCGCTGCTTCATGTGATTGCTGGATGCTTAGTTGAACCTGGTGGCTGGAGCTAGCGCGGCCGTCCACCGCACCGCATCTTCATCTGAGTGTGTGCGCCATAAAGTTTCTCAGTATGATGTGCGGATTACAGTTGTTGGACGTACTGCATTTTCTAGATTGCAATGCCAAGCGTGGTGTTGTCAGAGGTGATAGTGTTCTTGCTGCCGAGTTTTGCTTGTCGCGAAGGACAAGGTCGACGATGAAATAAATGCTTTCGCACGGTTCACGTGTGACTGACCGGACGCACATGCATGAAACCCCAGTGCGTCGGCGAAGTGTTCATACGATGGATGGAAACAACTTTATTGTAATGTTATTACGAAGCCTGTGATCTCCGAAGGCCAGAGCTACTGCATTGCCGTCTGTTTTGTCAAGTGCGAACACGTACGGCCGTTGTCATCCGTTGCTACTTGAATGGTCCCGTGCTGTCACAGGGCGCGCGTGTTATTGAACAAGGCAGACAAGCTGTTTTCTAGTTAGATGGGCTATCGCCGTCGGCACTTGCCCTTGGGCATTGTTTATCAAGTGCTGATCGCCTAGAACATTGCGGTGACACGTCAGTATTTTTAAAGAAAGCGGCCTGCTGGTTACCTCGTCAGGTGATGGTACACTGAGCGACATGAAAAAGTTGTCCGAGACTACGTTGCAATGCACCTTTCTGTCATCAAAACTTTGATAAATTGTGGAAATCAACATTCCTGACACCTGTGCCGAAGAAACCAATGCAGACAGCTGCATTAGAGTTTTTTGTGTCTTTTTGCGTCTCGCCGATTAAGAGCACTAATTCGCAAAATACTTTATCATAATAAATATAGTCAATCCTGCAAGAGTCATCGAAGATCCAATATTGAAGGGCCTGTGGACGGGACCACCACCAGCAGCAAGTCAGGCTGATGAGGAGGCGGAAATGTTAAAACAATACATGCGTGAACAAAAAAGAAAAGAGAGAAAGCTTCGATAAGTGCAATGCGACTTGAACCTCACCAGTTGATGTGTTGCTTTAACCAACTACGCCACAGCTGCCGATCAGTTGGATATGGCAAACAAGCCGGTTTTGTATTGTTGTCACGCTAAACCTAACTAACAGTTTTGTTCACTTTTTCGTTTGGATGTAATTTTAACTGCTTTTATCGTTATGTCTAGACGTACCGCTAGACACTGCCGACTATTCAAGCAAAACGCCTAACCGGAAAATGCATGACGTCACTTTTGTGCGGCGCAGCAGCCGTTTCTGTGTGGGGGCGGCTCGTACGCAGCAGCCACAGTGGCCGCAGCAGTCTCTGCCTAAAGCTGCGTTTAGCGCCCCTAACACGCAAAATGCACACTAGCTCATTCGACCACTTAAAAAGGAGTTCGTCGTTCTACTATAAGTGCAAATCACGAAAATCGCCGTGGTCGATTTTTTCGCCCTCTACGGCCATCGCAGGAACTTGAGAGTTTCCGGGGCCAATGGGTCGAACCAATGCCTCCTTTAGAAAGATGCCTGCCGCATAAGAAGAAAAACAGCTGCCACACCCTTTGTCTCCTTCATTTTAAAATGTTCTCGGTCGCTAGCGTCACTTGTGGCGAACGCTGCAACAACACAACACTTTGCATAGCCTTCGAAACAGTGGTGCACAATAGGAAGTCTTGAACAACTCTCCACTGACGCGCCCCTATGGGCCGCAGATGAAATACGCTTAGCTGGTATGACGATAGTTATAGCGCGAGAACAAAACGACGACACAGAGACAAGAAGGACACGAAAGAGAAAGCTCTGTGTCGTCGTTTTGTTCTCGCGCTATAACTATCGTCATGCCATACCAACTAGCCCAAGCTGCCACACTTCTGTGTTTAGCTGGTACCACGGAGGAAGGAGCTGGTACCCTTTTCCTTCCTCCGTGGCTGGTACCACCCACCGCCGTGATGATGGATGGATGGACGGATATGGCTGTACCCTTTAGATAAGGCGGTGGCTAGAGCCACCAAGCTGCTATACTTAATGAACCAAAATATAGATTTTTTTTTTTAATAGTGAGGTTGAGGATTCGTACTTTGCAGCGAAGGGTTCAATTTTCACTCGTGCCTTGACTTTAGCCACCAATAACATAACCTCCTTCTAGTTAATTCTACCCGCTTAAAGTCTATTTTGCCCTCACTGTCCCTAAACCCCAGTGCTTTGATAAACTCGGTGCCATCAACTTGAACTACAGGGTGAAGCCCTGTACAGAACATTATCAAGTGTTCGGCAGTTTCTTCTTCCTCTCCACACGCGCTGCATACTGTGTCTACCCCTTCGTATTTGGCCCGACATGTCTTCGTTCGCATTACTCCCATCCTGGCCTCAAACAGTAGAAAACTACCACGAGTATTATCATAGATCCTTTCCTTGGCTATTTCCTGCTTAAAAGTTCGATAGATCTCTAGTGCGGACTTCTTAATCATGCCAATTCTCCACATATCGGTTTCAGCTTTCTTCACCTTCTTCTTAACCGATAATTCTTTTTAGTTTGGCCCCCTGCATGCTGTTTTCCAAGTATTTACCAGTCAATTTTCTGGTTCACTTCCGCCATTTTGTATCGACATTCTTCATGTACAAGTAGCTGAATACCTTCCTAGCCCAACGCTCCTCCCCCATCTCTCTCAATCGCTTCTCAAATTTTATCATGCTGCTAGCTTCCCTGCCCTCAAATGATGTTCATCCCATGTCACCTTGTACTCCCTGATTTGGTGATTTCCTGTGAGCTCCTAAGGCAAGCCTACATATTACACGTTGCTTAATTTCTGATCTTGCTTGAACTTCTTATCTCATGCACATGACCGCATTGCCGAACGTCAGACCAGGAACCATGACTCCGTTCCATATTCCTCTCATAACATCATACCTATTGTAATTCCACAGTGCAATGTTTTTCATTACAGCTGCATTCCTGTTATCTTTAGTCGACACGTATATTTCATGTTCCCTTAGGTACTCGGCCCCATTGCTTATCCATACGCCCAGATATTTGTATTAATCTGTTATCTTTAGCGTGACCTGTATTCTAAGCTCACTACCTTCATTATCATTAAAAATCATGACTGCTGATTTTTCTTACTGAATCTGAAATCTAATCTATCTCCCTCAGTACCGCAGATGTCCATCAATCTCTCCAAATCTTCCTTGTTGTCGGCCATTATCACTATATCATCTGTGTACATCAATGCTGGTAGTGCCTGTTCAATGAGTTTTCCTTGTTTGACGAAAGAGAGGTTGAAACCCAGTACACTTCCCTCTAAATTGGCCTCTAATATTTGTAGGTACATCATGAATAACAAGGGTGACAGAGGACACCCCTGCCTAAGCCCCCGTTTCACCTCTGTGGGTTTAGATACCTGTTTTCCCACTTTATAACTACCTTGTTACTTTTATAGATCTCATTTAAAAAATTAGTGACTACATCTTCCACGCCTAGTGTCTCCAGTATTCCCCACAGTTCCTCTTGAACCACGCTATCGTACGCTCCCTTGATATCCAAGAATGCTAGCCACAGGGGCCTGTGTTCCTTTTGTGCTATTTCGATGCACTGCGTCAGTGAGAACAGATTGTCTTCCAGCCTCCTGTGGTTCCGAAACCCATTCTGCAGTTCCCTCAGCACCCCCTCATCCTCTATCCATGCCTGCAGTCTTTCCTTTATAATCTGCATCGCCAGCCTGTAGACCACTGATGTCACTGTTATAGGACGGTAGTTGTTTATGCCAGCTTTGTCCCCCTTTCCTTTATAGATCAAGCTCATCCTGCTAAGTTTCCATCCATCGGGAACTTCTCCATCGATTATTATTCTGCTCACTGCATCTCTCAAAGCCTGCTTAGACGTCGGACCTAATGTCTTAATCAGCATAATTAGAATGCCATCTGGGCCTGTTTTGGTCACGAGCGCCATCGCGCGGAGCTTGTTTAAAACTGAAGGCAGGCCAACTCCGCTGGGAGCGCGAGTCATTCCTCAGGCATCTTTCTAGAGGATGCGTTGGTGAAACAAGGCTGAAATGCGGAAGGAGCAAACTGTCTGCTCCAGTGGGGATTTAAAACGCACACCTGGCATGCTGATTTATCCGTGAGGGGCCGAAGTACGCCGGTAAACATGTCGCACTTCTTACCAGAGCTCGAACAGGTCGGTACACCTTGATTTGTCATGTATGCATTGCACATCGTGCCGGGCGTCTTTCGTTTGCCGGTACTACTGCAGACCGGCAAAGAACGGCAAATACATGCCTGTGCTGCTTAAGTTTGTTGACAGAGTTGTGAAGTGAAGTGGCATGACGTAAGCCCCGCAGTGACAGTGGTTAACCACAAAACGGAGGCGCGATATTTTATGCTACTTGTGCTACAAAATGCAAGCACCTTTTGTGTGTTGTTTAATCGGTTGAGGGGCACCTCACTATAATGGTGCACCAAAAGACGGGCTTATGTGCAGCATACTCCCTGTCTGAAACATGTTATAGGTCACTTTCGGGCAAGGTTCTGTTTGGCGTGCATAAGTAGGTTGCCAACTGGGGGGGTATGTGCCCCTGCAGCTTGGACTTTCTCGTATGGTTCTTGTGTAATCCGTTCTGGCTGTGTGGTCTGTTGACACGGTCGTTTCACTTAGCGGCCCGTGTGCGTTGTTGAAGGGTGAGCCCCGCCCCCACTTTTTTTTTATCGCTGTGCATTCTATTCTAATATACATATCGTTTAGTAATAGTAATATCTGGTGTCTTACGTTCAAAAACCACAAGATAATCAGGAGAGGGGCCTCATGGAGAGCTCTGATAATTTTGGCTATCTTGTGTGCTTTAACGTGCACCGACACCACACAGTAGACAGGCCTCTGGCATATCGCCTCCATCCTAATGTGACCGCCGCGGCAGGGGTCGAACCCCCGACCTCCAGTTCAGCAGCCGAGCACATGTAACCGCTGATCCAGCGTGGCCGACAGGTCACTTTCCTTTGTAGCGTTTGCAGGGGAAAAAGGGATAAGAGAACACAGATAAGCTGTGCTGTGCACAAAACAGTACAAATCTACTGGCCCTGTGTATGCATCAGAGCCATAAATTGAAAAGTATAGCTGGAAAGTTCTTAGTGTTAATCCACGCACACGGAAGCTGTCATATCAGAACGCTGCCCTCTATGTGCTAAATTTACACCAACATGTGTATTTGCTGTTCAAAATCGTTGTTCTTATCCAATCTTCTCTTTCTTACTCGGCACAGTGGCAAACACGTTTTGAAGGTGCAACTTTCACGACATATAGGTGGCGCGACTGTACATCCAATATGGCTGTCGTTGAGATGATCGCCCCGAGAGAGACTGTACCGGAAAGCACACTTTTGGTGAAGAGTGTAATTCTTCGCACTTCAGAGGCCCTACGGTTTATGTTCCAGAGAAAGTAGCGATACAGAACAGCCGCAACAGCCTTGCTGCATGAAAGAGAAAGACTACGGTTGCTGTTTGTTGACGAACTGGCTCCATCTTGTTCACCGAGTTCTGTGCATCGCATATAGTTTAATAAATAAGTTACTTAACATTATTAGTGGAGGTGGACGACTCCCGTACCTTGATAGAGGCACGCAGCGGTCGAAATGCTGAGGACTCTTCGGCTACTTCAACTACCAGTACCTCATCACCGCCGGCCTCTCCAGCCGAGTTGACAACTTAGGTCAACCTGCTGCCCCTTCGAGATCATGGCACTTTCTCCGCTGACGGTACCATCGACGTTGACTCCTGGCTTTGCCAGTGCGAACGCGTCAGTGCTACCCACCGCTGGGATCACACGGTGATGCTCACGAATGTTCTCTTCTACCTCGACGGCACGCCACGGACATGGTTCGCAACAAATGAAACCGAAATCACGAACTGGGATCTCTTCAAAACGAAGATCCGTGATCTCTTTGGCGATTCATCTGGTCGTCAGCTCGCTGCCAAGGAGACTCGCGCCCAGACATCGACTGAATCGTATGTCTCGTACATTCTTGACGTCTTGGCGCTTTGTAGCAAGGTCAACCAGCACATTCCGGAAGACAAGGAAGGTAATCACGTTCTCAAAGGAATTGCTGACGATGCCTTCATCCTGTTGTTTTCTAATAATGTTACAAGCATCGACACGATCCTGAAAGAATGGCGCCGTCTAGAACAGGCTAAAGCCCACCGCATAACCCACGGCATCACGCGCCTGCCGAACACAGCGGCTACTTCCTCATGCAATGACGCCTTGCAACAAGCTCCCCGATGTGACAACCTCACCCGCATCATTTGTCGCAAGGTCGAGCCAGCCCAACCAGTAGTCACTCCATTCTCAACGGCTGATCCTTCACCAACCGCCATATCACTGATGCAAGCGGTCTTTCGTCAAGAATCATCGAACGTCGGCCTACATCCTGTTCAACCAGTCTGCTCTTCCGAGCCATTTTTCCGCTCCTCCATTCGCTCCTCGCTTTGGTTTCAACTACTCTTGACAACGCAATTTGTCCGAATGGCGTACACTGGACGACAAGCCCATATGTTTCAACTGCCGACACGTCGGTCATATCGCTCACCACTGCCGCAATCACTCGGCTCCGCCAGCACAGTATGGGCCTCCCCCCCAGGCCACTTCTGTTCACCAGTCATCCTGAGCCTTTAAATTTGATTCCTCTGTGCCGACCACATTCTCTGATTCTGCCGCAGCTCTGACGAGACCTCGCTACACCCGCTCACCATCTCCTGCTCGCCGTTGTTGCGAAGCGCGCCTCCGACGACGTTACGAAGGGCACCACGAATCTCACCGTTGCAATCACTGTTTCGAAAGACGGCGACGCCAACACGGTCTCGAAGGCGCCACTGCTTCGAACTTTGCCGGGAAGGTCACCAGCCGTTTGGTGGCGTAGGTTTTTCAGCTTGCGACTGCTTCTGCGCAGAGCTGATAGACGAGCGGACGAGACGATGGTGAGTTAAACAAGGTTTATGTACAGCATATATACAGAGGCGTTACAAATTCGGCACTGGGGCCGACAGCTTAGAGACCCGAGGAGCCGAGGTCTCCTCTCTAACACATAGGTCTACTGCTCGCGACGCGCCGCAGGGCTTCTTTTATATGCACCGGGTGGGTTCTTTGAGTAACCAAATGTCCAACCAGAAGCGCTGCTGGTCGTGAGGTCGGAATCCTCCTATGGGGTCGCCGCTGGGCCGCGTCATTCTCATAGAATCTGGAGCCGCTGCGCTGCACGTGGCTGCACCCAAAGACGAGTGACGTCGCCACGCATTGCGTCAGACTCGCCAGACAGGAAGGCACCGATTGCTTCCACGCGCTCGTGGGTTGAGGAGCTCGCTGTTCGTTGCCCGACAGATAGGCGCCGCCACGTGATGACGCCGTTGAGTTGTTCGCGTCAGGCGGGCTCGCGTGCTGGCCTTTACACAGATTGCCTTTTTCAGAGGCATGGACGTTCGCTGTGGACTCACAGGCATAAAAGCAGCCCCGCCGCCAGACAATGCGCCGGAAAAACGAGCTGCTTCCACGTGGCTCGGATGTCAGGCGCGCTCGTTCGCCAGGTCCCTCCAGGTTCGCCTTCAGGGCCATGGGGAGAATGCAGCTCCAGACTCTGTTCCGGGAACACATCCCAGCTCCACTGGCTTGTCGCCACAATTTGTCGACCAGCTTTACTCGTCTCTTCTGACGATCTTTGGTTTCAGCACTTGTTGATGGTTCTGCAACTTGTCAAGAACGGTTCGACAACAGACAACACACGACACAAGCAAGTGCCCTCGGTCACCCGACAAAACACCAGACAAAGTATAGTAGAACACATACCTAGCTACGTGTCTATCGGAATTTCGTTCCCTCTACATCAAGAGGCACACGTGGGACACAAGACTCTTAAAATGACAACTCATATTTTTACACGTACAATAACGTAACGAAATAGAATACAACATAAAGTTGGCTCCTTGAGCTCACTCTGGACGAGAGTGCTCAGCTAAGGTCGTGATGAGGTCAAATTTTGCCCCTAATCGCCAGCGAGAAACGGAAAGATGGAGAAGGTACTAACTAAACGCACGGCTCAATGCGTCTGCATCAGCGTTTAGCTTTCCTTTTTTTTGTAGCGAACGTCAAAGTTGAGCTGTTGGAGTATCATGCTCCACCTCAGTAACCGGCCACTTTTAGGCGACGATACCTATGCGGTACCAACAGCTGCTCATACTTGAGACGTTGCACAGGGGAACAACGATACGGCTTGCTAGGGATTGGCTCCTCACAAGTTAGCTCGATATCGTGTTCGATCACCGTCGTGTTTCCGGGATGGTCCGAAAACACGTCTTCAAATTCGGAAAAAATCCTTTTTAGGTCCTCCTTCTAGACTTCATTTAACCTAGGCTCTAGGTTCAACTGCTCCAAGATTACCTCCGATTCCCTTTCGATTACCTCACTAGAACTAAAAAGTTCTGCTCCCTGTTCCTCTGAAGCATTCAACTGCTGATTTACGACCGCTTGACGTTGAACGTATGGTTTCATCAAGTTACTGTGGTAAATTTTGTTCGGCCACCTACCTAATTTCACTTCATAATTGATATCAGAAAGCTTCGATATTATTTTGGCGGGCCTTTCCCAATGAACCTCAATCTTGTTCTTTTTGCACGGCCGCAGCAGCATTACCTGACTTCCTACTTCAAAAGCACGCTTCTTCACCCATTTGTCGTAGTACTCCTTCGACAACACTTGTGCAGCCTTCATGTGGCTTTCCTTGAGATCTTTCATTTTTCCAAGCCTCTGAAGGAGGTCTAGAACATGCGCAACTACATTAGGGTCCTTATCGAAACCCTCCCAGCACTCGCGCAGCATCCGCAATGGTGTTCTCAAACTCCTGCCATAGACAAGCTCTGCAGGGCTAAAACCAGTGTTCTCATGAGGAGCTGATCTCAAAGCGAACATAGCGGGAGGAATACACGCTTCCCAGTCGCATTTGTACTCGTAGCAAAGAGCTCTCAGTATCCGTTTCAGAACGGAATGCATACACTCTACCGGATTAGATTGCGGGTGATAGATCGAGCTGTGCACTACTTTTATTCCGCATTTATCCATAAAGGTAGAGGTAAGGCAGCTGGTGAAGACACTACCATTGTCGCATTGGATTTCAGAAGACGCGGGCAAATATAGATAGC